AGCCAGCCAGCCAGCCAGCCAGCCAGCCACAGTTCCTTCTTGCTTATTCTTATTATTCTCACCATCTCAGCCTCACTATCAAGCTAGCGTAGGCACCACTTGTTCATCAATGTCTGTAGTTTGTTGCAAGTGCTTTCCGTAACGCACCAAGTCTCTCAACCATCACATTGAAGCACTGACTTGACTGGCATTAGTGTTGAAAATCCGGATGTTGTTCACACTTTATGCTGAGTGCAGTGCACAAGATCTGCACACTGGTTAATGAGGGTTAATGAAGGAATGCCTGTCTTGTTGTGTTTCGGATGCTGGCTGCTTCGACGTCGTCGTCCTCGTCGTCGTCCTCGTCTGTGCCTGTGACTGTGCCTGTGCCACCTGTAGTTGAAACGATGCTGCCTAATTGGGTGTAGGTGAAAGAGACTACTTCATTCAAGTTTCTCCCATTGATGGTGCTGGGTGCCTGTTGTTGTTGTTGTTGTTGTTGTTGTTGTAAGTGTTGTTGATTGTGTATCTTCATCACCTCTGTCTTCTCTACCTTCACCTGAAGGAAGTCCCATGTTCGCTGCCCTACCCTGCCTCTTCTGTCAACTTGTTAGTTTTGGTCTGTAGATCTTCGAGTTTGTGAGACAACACATTAGACATAAATGATTATCAGCGAGATGCAAATCTTCTTCTGGGATATTTCCCCCTGTCCAGCATATCCCTTCCTCTCACTCCTCACTGTTTGTTGCATGATCCAGTCCAGTCCAGTCCAGTCCAGTCCAGTCCAGTCGACCATAATCAGGAAGATGACTGGTGATAGTAGGTGGCAGTCTTGTCTTGTCTTACTCCTGTCTTCACTTCGAAGGCATCACTGAGCTGAGCTTTCCATTGTGAATTACTTTGTATGTGGTGTCTTCATCTAGTTGTTGAATGAGATTGATAAATGTTTGTGGTAGTAAAACCGTAGTGTTGAAGCAGCTGTTTGTCAAATTACTTGTCAGTCTACTCTGTGGAAGGCGTTTTCAAAGTGGATGAAGTTGAGGTTGAGTTGGGTTGACTGGCATTCTATACTGTGTTCTATGATGATGCATAGTGTCTCGTTGCAAATTGATCCGCACATGATTTGTATTTCCTGAAGCCAGCCAGCCAGCCAGCCAGGCAGCCAGCCAGCCAGTCAGTCAGCCTGTTTTGGGTTGTAGTTTTGAATCCAGTGCATGTTTTAGTCTCTCCAGGATGATGCGGCCTAATATTATATTTTCACAATAGTTAATAAAAAAATTACAATATTTAGTATGCGAATCATGCTTTTGGATATGCGTTTCTCCTTTCGGTTGACACATCCACATCCAATGTTAACTCATAAGTACAACAGACAATAAATCCTAGATTATAGTTTATGATTGAACATTAATCACTCTGTCACGACAGTTAATATTGAAGCAACTAGGTTATATACTACTTAGTGTAGCCAGTGAGTAGTTGCCAAACTCTTACACTAGTCTGCCCAAGCAGCATAGTTAGTTGTTTCAAGTGGATTGATTCTTACCTGACACTTGTGTATAGACATATTGAATAATGTAAAACAGCTTTATAATGTAGAAAATTAGAAATATAGCATAACATGCTATAAAACTGTTGGATACCATAAAATGATTACCTTGTTGGATCTTTCAGTGTTATAAGAGATTTTAACCAGCTTATGCATGTATCTACGTTGGATTCCAAAATCATAGCTCTTCATCAAAATTGTAAAAACTTATGCCTTCGTATGGTGATTAGTAAACACATGGACTATATTTCGACCTAGTAGTTTGGCGTTTAGAAGCGTCCGAACTTCTTTTATTTGGCCGTAGTATAAAAGAATTTGGTGTGATTAAACGTTGGTTAGAGCGAGAAGAGGGGGATACGCTGACTGGACTGCGGAAAAGAACCTAGAAGACTTGGATTTCGGCGATGACTTTTGCCTGATGTCACACAAACTTGAAGATCTACAGGCGAAAACTAACAAGTTGGCAGAAGAGGCAGCGAAGACGGGACTTCAGGTGAATATAGAGAAGACAGAAGTGATGAAGATACCGCACCAACAACTCCAACAACAACAACAACAACAAACTCCGGTCACTATCAACGGGAGAAACTTAAAGGAAGTAACCTCCTTCACCTATCTAGGAAGCACTGTTACAACTACAGGCGGCACAGGCACAGACGAAGATGTCAAAGTCAGAATCGGAAAACAAGACAGGCGTTCATTAACCTGAAACCAGTGTGGAGATTTTCTGCACTCAGCATGTGGAACAAGATCCGGATTTTCAACACCAACGTCAAGTAAGTGCTTCTGTATGGTTGAGAGACTTGGCGCGTTACGAAAGGGATTTCCAATAAACTACAGACATTCATCAACAACTGCCGCCTACGCTGGCTCGTTACTGAAGATCAGATGGCCAGAATAATGGGAATAAGCAACAAGGAGCTCTGGGAACGAACCAACCAAGAACCTATCGCTCAACAAATATGTAGAAGGAAGTGGAGATGGACTGGTATACACTGAGAAGGCCGACTGGGGACATCACGTGCCAGGCCGTCGAGTGGAATCCCCATGGGAGGCGACGAGTTGGGCGTCCGTGGCGACGGTGACATGGGGGAGATCGTGCGAGGAGGAAATGAGAGCTTCTGGGTTGTCGTGGAGCGAGGTTCAAAAGATTTCAGAGAAGAGAGTGTACTGGAGACGTGCTAGTGAAGTCCTATGTTCCATTAGGAACACAAGGGACTAATAATAATAATAATAATAATAATAATAATAATAATAATAATAATAATAATAAAACGTTGGTTACGAGAAACCTTGAAGACGAGCAATCAGGTTGCAGGTGAAACCCGTCAAGGTCATTGCCCTACTTCCGTTTACTATATTGTTGACGCTCCATTGGCTGTCCATGAATTACAACGAAGGTTACGTCATTGGTTATTTGCAGAGAGTCTGATTGTTTGGGAGGAGTTTAAATCATGAATTTGGTATTGTAGTGAACTTTATGCTTAACGTGCCAGAAATAAATGTAACCAAAGAAGACGACTTAAACAAAACTGGTTAAGTTAACTTACATATATACATCTTGACGAATCATAAATTCTTGGTATAAGCGCCTGAAAGACGAAGAAAGCACATTCAAATTGGATAAAGGATTTGTCCAGAAGTATCTTTCCTACCAGTTGTAGAAAAACTGGTCATATCTGGTCCCACAATATCCACAGATCCTTGGAGGTCGTACATGTTATTACCTGGAATGGATTACCACCATCATTTTATTTTTCACAAGTAGTATTTCGTTGATTAAACAACGGGAGTGCATATAAACAACTGTGAAAAGCTATGAAGTCATCTAAAAAGTTACTATGTACTTCATATGCTTGGTTCTGATTGGTCAGTATGTGCTTGAACTTGATTAATCATCACCAAAGTTTAATTCAGAGTGAGCATAATAAATGTACATGGATGTTTTATTACCTTTGATGCTTGATTGGAAACTTTTCATCCATAAACTAGATGGTTTTTTTCATGGGCAACTTGGAGATTAACATATTAACTCATTCAACTTACGTAACCTTTCAAATAGTTCAATGTCTTTCTTGTTTCTAGCTAAGAATGTTGACTTTGTAGTGCTTAAGAAGGCCGATTTAAACTTAAGTTGGAATCAGTTTCCTTCGGGTTACTTATATGGCTTAACTTATAGATATTATTATTTGTCCCTTGGGTTCCTAGTTGAACATAAGGCTTCACTAGCACTTCACCATCCCACTCTCTTCTCTGTAGTCATTTCAACCTGGCTGAACGACTGTTCAGAAGTCTTCACTTCTTCTTCACACAATCTCATCCATGTCACCCTCCGATGCCTAACTCATCGTTTCCCATTTGGCTTCCACTCGATGGCCTGGCCTGGCCTGGCACTTGATCTCCTGGAACGCTCTTCTCAGTGTATGTCCGATCAAATTAATCTCCAGTTTCTTCTTCTGCATATTTGTTATGTGATGGGTTCTTGGTTGGTTCATTGCCAGGCCAGAGTTCCTCCTTGTCTATTTTTTCTGGCCATCTGGTCTTCAGTATCGATCGTAGGCGGCAGCTATTGATGAATGTTTGTAGTTTGTTGTAAATGCTTTTCGTAACACGCCAAGTCTCTCAACCATCACATGATAGCAGTGACTTGACTGACTTAGTGTTGAAAATCAGGATCTTGTTCACGATTTATGTTGAGTGCAGTGAAGTGGAGTAGATCTATATACTGATTTCAGCTTAATGAAGGCCTGTCTTGTTGCTTTTCCGATGCCGGCCTTGACATCCTCATCTGTGCCGTCATCTGTGAGCCTGTAGTTGAAACGATGCGATGCTTCCTCGCTAGGTAGGTGAAAGAGAAAACCTACTTTAGATTTCCTCCATTGATGGCTATTGGTGCTTGTTGTTACTGTTAGTTGGGTATGTTCATCACCTCTTTCTTCTTTACGTTTACCTGAAGTAAGCCCGATCTTCGCTTCCCTGCCTCTTCTGCCAACTTGTTAGTTTTCGCCTGTAGATCTTCAAGTTTGTGAGACAGGACATCACACATAAATCATCATAGACAAAATCCAAATCTTCTAGGGTCTTTTCATTGGTTAGACAGCGTGTGTCCATATTCTCACAACTCCTCACAGTTTATTGCATGATGCAGTCCAGTCCAGTTGACTACAATCAGGAAGATGACTGGTGATATTAGATGGCAACCTTGTCTTGTCTCACTCCTGTCTTCACTTCAAAGACATCACTGGGCTTTCCGTGGTGAATCACTTTGTATGTAGCGTTGTCATATAGCAGTCAATAAACGTCGATCATTGTCCACTACTCACTGTCTCCTGTTGTCTATGATCGAAGTAATCCCGGCGGGAATACAATGTCTATGTCATCAAACTGCTTTTTTGTCAGTTAAAAAAATCCTTATTTTCTTTTCTAATTAAATTCATTCAGTCAACTGTATACATTTTTTCTTCAAAAATAGGTTCTAAGTGAGTGTAAATTGCGTAAAGACGGTTTGTTCGAATTGTATGATACATTTATAAAGAATGTCTACATAAAACGCTTGGATTTATCAGGTGAGTTATATAGTGATCATATATTTTCCACCATCTCTTTAATTGAAAATTTCTCCTGATAATTCGAAGTATATATTCGCTATCAACTAGATTATGCTTGTGTTTGATATGACACTACTCAGGAGAACCACATTGGGGCATGCAGCAGATAAGAGTGGTCCTATGTTAGTTTAGGATATCTTAGGCAACCCATATTTTTGAAGATGTGTGAAAGGAGAAACACCAAACGCCTACCTTTCAGACAGTTAGGAAACTTAGGGTATCAGAGGAGAAACGATACTAAAAGTCAGGTATAACATCTTTCAGACTAAAGAAACGTTTCGTATTCTGATCAGTATTTCAAGAGTAGTACTTTAATTCTGATGTTTGTGGGGATTTTGTTGATTTAAGGCTGGTATTCATTATGCACTGCCGTCAGTTGGAGAAACATTGAGAACTTGAGAGCAGTAGACAGATGGTTCTTCCTAGTATGGCACTCCTCAAGAGTGTCCAACCATGCTCCTTCGTGGATCGAACCCATGACCTACAGGTTCCACGACTAGCACGTTAACATTGACAGCTGGAGATCCTAGGCTGGATGATAGGAGATACTTGGAGTTCATGATGGAAGAGAGTTAAGGTGGAGGTTTCACAGAGTTGTACAACTTCCTCTCTCACGCAAAGGAGTTATGGCTGGCTTCTCACTTTCCTTAGATCACCTGCCATTCGCTTAGCTCATTGTATATGGAAAACACAGCTGCTGGTAACTTTGACCATGATTTACACGACTGACTGCTAGTCAGCTAGATGGAATGCTGACTTCGACAATATTTACATCCAGTTAACTAGAGGTATTTTGACCTTAGTTTCTGACTATTCTTTCCTTTGCACCCATATTCGTTTCGGCTTCAACCTGTACATTTTCACTATGTACTATATGGCAACAGTGATATCTGTTGGCATTGACAGTCTCATAAGTGTTTTTGACTTTTCAGGGCTATTCATTGTCAGTGTAAACGTAGCTAAGACAAATCGACATTCAATGTTCAATGAACATATGAATATAATAACGCTAATCTGTCGAGTCAACCAGTATGCTTTGTAAATTGTTTATTCAATGCAGAGCTCGGACGAGATGGCTGTTGACGAAATCCCAGCTTGGATACTTTGGGCTTGTTTGACATTTGCAACTCCCATCATCTTTGATGCCGACTAATGACATATTCAACTACGTACCAAAGGACGAGTACACTCAGCTGTAGTATGTTCTGCTCTACTATGAGGCTATGAGATATGGTTGTTGAAAGTAGAAGACATGTGATGCTTACAAGTTTTCGATCATAGATGTATTCGCAACATTGTTCACGTTTGGTGGAATCACCGTGTGAACAATATCGAGGTTAGGTGAAAGATACCAACCAGGATAGCTGAGTCTATTGATAGGATTGTAAATTTTTATCGACTGAGATGACTTCAAAATATATTGCTCATACCAGGTCACCACCTACCTTGATATACGTTGCAACTGAAAGCTGGTTTAGATTTCCACCTTCAGTGGACGAAATGGGTATGTACAGGTACGTTGTTTTAGGTTTCATTCAATTATTTGATTGCAAAAAGCGTATGGCACTTCATCGTCTAGTCTTCAGCGGACCTAGTTCACTTTGTGGAGAACAGTAATCCACACACGATGATTTATTATTATTTGTCCCTTGGGTACCTAGTGCAACATAGGGCTTCAATAACACGTCTCCAGTGCATTCTGTTCTCTGCAATCTTTTCAACCTAGCTACACCACTAACCACAAGCTCTCATTTCTTCCTCACATGATCTCCTCCATGTCACCCTCACTTCGGACTACCAAACTCATCGTTTCCCATCTGGGTTCCACTCGAGCAACTGGCCTGACGCATGATGTCCCCAGTCCGCCTCATCAGTGTATGCCCAATCCATCTTCACTTCCATCCTATGCGTATTTGTTGAGTGATAGGTTCCTGGTTAGTTCGTTACCAGCCAGCCAGAGTTCCTTCTTGCTTATTCTTATTATTCTCACCATCTGACCTTCAGTATCCAGCTAGCGTAGGCACCACTTGTTCATCAATGTCTGTAGTTTGTTGGAAATGCTTTCCATAACGCACCAAGTCTGTCAACCATCACATTGAAGCACTGACTTGACTGGCATTAGTGTTGAAAATCCGGATGTTGTTCACACTTTATGCTGAGTGCAGTGCACAAGATCTGCACACTGGTTAATGAGGGTTAATGAAGGAATGCCTGTCTTGCTGTGTTTCGGATGCTGGCTGCTTCGACGTCGTCGTCCTCGTCGTCGTCCTCGTCTGTGCCTGTGACTGTGCCTGTGCCACCTGTAGTTGAAACGATGCTGCCTAATTGGGTGTAGGTGAAAGAGACTACTTCATTCAAGTTTCTCCCATTGATGGTGCTGGGTGCCTGTTGTTGTTGTTGTTGTTGTTGTTGTTGTTGTAAGTGTTGTTGATTGTGTATCTTCATCACCTCTGTCTTCTCTACCTTCACCTGAAGGAAGTCCCATGTTCGCTGCCCTACCCTGCCTCTTCTGTCAACTTGTTAGTTTTGGTCTGTAGATCTTCGAGTTTGTGAGACAACACATTAGACATAAATGATTATCAGCGAGATGCAAATCTTCTTCTGGGATATTTCCCCCTGTCCAGCATATCCCCTTCCTCTCACTCCTCACTGTTTGTTGCATGATCCAGTCCAGTCCAGTCCAGTCCAGTCCAGTCCAGTCCAGTCGACCATAATCAGGAAGATGACTGGTGATAGTAGGTGGCAGTCTTGTCTTGTCTTACTCCTGTCTTCACTTCGAAGGCATCACTGAGCTGAGCTTTCCATTGTGAATTACTTTGTATGTGGTGTCTTCATCTAGTTGTTGAATGAGATTGATAAATGTTTGTGGTAGTAAAACCGTAGTGTTGAAGCAGCTGTTTGTCAAATTACTTGTCAGTCTACTCTGTGGAAGGCGTTTTCAAAGTGGATGAAGTTGAGGTTGAGTTGGGTTGACTGGCATTCTATACTGTGTTCTATGATGATGCATAGTGTCTCGTTGCAAATTGATCCGCACATGATTTGTATTTCCTGAAGCCAGCCAGGCAGCCAGGCTGTTCGTGTTGTAGTTTTGAATCCAGTGCATGTTTTAGTCTCTCCAGGATGATGTGGCTTAATATTTTGGTTGGTGTGCACAGAAGCATGATTCCGCGTCAGTTCTTGCAGTTTTAGGTCGTACTTCTTTGGGTGTTTGACAAGGTAGCCGTTCTTCCAATTTACAATTACCTTCCCTTCCTTCTAGACCTTTTACATACGATAATGCTCCAGTATTAATGCTGAATGCTTTACTGTTGATAGATGAAGAATTCATTCATTAAATAAACATCGAGATATCGGCCCACGAGCCTATATGTTTACTGTGGTCTTTTAATTCTTTCGAACCAACGACTGATATTCACAACGTACTATATGAAAGACTATCCTATACCCATCGTACAAGAAGTGACTATCCCGACTTGGTGGCTTAGTGGATAACGATGCTCTGGTGTTTAAAGTGATTGGTCCTGGGTAAGAGTCTCAGTGGGAAAAGCATCACTCACTAGAAGGCAGGTACATCCAGCTGACGAGTCAGAAATGGGAGGAAATGCGCGTCCTGGATACCACTGCTAACTATGAAGCAGATTACAACTGGCTGCACAGGAAGGGTCATCTCTAGTTGTATTTACAAGTTTAAAGGCACTTACAGAAGAAAATATAAATGAAGCATTGTCAGGAAGGTGACTGATAGACTTTACGAATAAAGAGCTTTGAAACACACTCGTCACACCTTTAGTGGATACAGGATGAACATCTTAGGTCAATTTCGTCTTCGAAGTCATTAGGTTATATAGAACAGTTGTTCTGCTTCGATTTGCAGAAGAGATAGTCATTAAACGATTTCAAACTGGCCGCCATTATCCTTTTACGTAGTTTCCTCGTGATTTATACTCTTTAATTTAAATTCGCATCTGACTTTTCAACCCATAGGTTGTTACGCAACTTATTTCCTTGTTTCTGACTCCAGTAGACTTTTATTTTGACTACTTTACTGTTTCTGTGTCACTGCATTTTCTCTATCTGTTAGTCTACTATAAATTTTGAATTTGAACTGTCCGTCTAACAATTAAATTATGTTGAATGTTGATGATGGTACTACATCGTGAATCAATAGCAGTAGGAAACTGAACCATTGAACTCCAACCTAATGGCTGAAAGGTTAACGCATTCGCCGTGAAACTTGAAGATCCTGAGCCCCTTCCTTGATGGATTTGTGAATGCTTACTGCTGAGGAGTCCCATCCTGGTGTGAAACGGCTGTCTAGTGCTCTTAAATTGTCAATAGTTCTCCAAATAATGTCACTTCATGATGAATACTGTCTTAGAAATATTGATTTGTTGATTATGATAACTTTTGTGATTCAGTTTAGAGGTTTGTGGGGATTGACTGGTTGATTTTAAGGTGGTATTCTTCAGAGACTGACACTGGTTGAAGAACCACTGGAAACTTGAGGTCACTAGACGGCTGTTTTATCCCGTTATGGGACTCCTCAGCAGTGCGCACCAATGATCCCATCAGTGATCGAACTAAGGTCAATGAGATCCCACGGTAACCGCAGTAACATTGAGTCACAAGGTTAGAATCCGATAGTTCACGTTTTCCTTCTTTTATCAGATGATGTGAGGGCAAGAAATCGAATGTGGATATTTTGTTCTACAGTGTTATTTGTTCTTGTCTGGTTCAGTAGTCAGATATTGTCTACAGACTTCATTTCCTCGGATACTCTTTACTTGGCTAATTTGACGTTTGACGTGTAATGCGTTCCTAATAGTAGTTCTTATCAAGAATTGAGATTGTCTTCGGAATAACTGTTTTGCCTTAGTTTTGGACTGATAAACTGAACAATGTGCACTTAAAATTTGAAATCTAACCAAGTTTAGTATTTTCATATCATAATTAAAACCAACATGCCTTTGATCATTGACTTTGAAATTTAGTTGTCTGTACTTTCCAGTCAAGGGGAATTTAAGAAACCGTATGACCATTACTAGGCAACCATCTTTATTCACCAGCCTGATATCCTGAGTATTCATGAGTAAGAATCTCGACCTTACAGTGTATTAACTGCTAAATGTTTGTTGCTTTTTATTGGCCGTTTGAGTGATGCTAGTTTGTCATGCAAATAGTGTCTAAACCAATTAATTTCTAGAAGAGACAGGAAGACTGCTGACTGGTCGATGTTTTCTGTGTAAACTATGTTCATAAATATTCGTCCTTAACCTTGACTGAAGGTCGTTGGAATTTTATTGGTCCGTTACTAATCTTGTTCAAAGGTTGTGCTGTTGCTTTTTTATTGGTCCATTATTAACCAGTGCGAGAAGACGATTTTGTTAAAAGTCACTGTGACTGATCTGCAGATTTTGAAAGTTAGTTCGGAGTGGTCTAGACACTGGACGGCCTTTCCAGTTATCTGCGGCAGAGCTCATCAGCAGTGTACCCACCAGAACCCAGTGTCAACGCGGACCATTCAATTTGTAAACTACTTGCTAAATGGTGATCCTATTAACACAAACCATTCAGCTTACATTTGTACTATAGTAAGCTTTACACCTTCTGCATCAAATCGCTAAACCCAATCACTTATTCTAAAACCCCTTCATTCTCCTTCGCAGGATGTGAATTAGGTGATGCTTCATGTAGTATGTTGGCTGAAATATTGAAGGTAAGTTAAGACTGTCTGTTTTATGCTACTTTAAATATTTTGGTTTTATTATTATTTGTCCCTTGGGTTCCTAGTGGAACATACAGATTCACTAGCACACCACCATTTCACCCTCTTCTCTACAGTCTTCTGAACCTGGCTCCACAACTGCACATAAGTTTTCATTTCTTTCTCACACAATATCCTCCATCTCACCCTCACCCCGGACGCCCGAATAGTCGTTTCCCATTCAACTTCCACTCAATGGCCTCCTCTCGCCTCGCCTCACCTCCCCTGGCTTGGCCTGGCACGTGATGTCCCCAAACCATCTTCTCAGTGCATGCCCATCCAATCAAATCCATCTCCATTTTTTTCTTCTGAGTACTTGTTGGGCGATAGGTCATGGCTTCGTTGGTTCCTTGCCAGTCAAACTGGGTTCCTTGTTGCTTATTCTTATTATTCTCACCATCTGATCTCCATCTTCAGTATCGAATGAGAGTAGGTGACAGCTGTTCATGTATAATGTCTGCAGTTTGTTGTGAATGCTTTCTGTGACACGCCAAGTCTCTCAATCATCACATAGAATCACTGAGTAACTTGTCTGACTTAGTGTTGAAAATCCGGATGTTGTTCACACTTTATGCTGAGCGGAGTTGATTGGAGCAGATCTCCACACTGTCTTTGACATCCTCTCCTGTGCCACCGCCTGTAGTTGAAACCTCTTCTCGCCTAGTTCACTAGTTTACTAGTAGGTGCTTAGCCTGGAAAAAGAAGGAAGGTTGGACGTGGTTGAGTGACCCTACCTTAGAAAATCAGTCTAACCGCTACAGAAATTTCAAAGCACAGAAGAACTTTAAGATTATTTAGTAGTATTTTATACAACAACTTTACCAGACTGCTCATTTGGGTTATCTCAGTAACTACTTGGCATCAGATACTATAATTCAGTTTTTATTCTTTACTTAAGCTGGTTTGACAGCAATTGTGTTTGCATCTCTGAATGCTGATTGCTAATTCACGGGATCAGTAGTTCTTCAAGGCTGTCTGTTGCGCCATATATCTTTTTTCTTGCTAAATGTAAGTGAAATGAAATGATGCAAAAATTGCTGACGTGAATGGCTGGCTTCGTTTTGTAATGATTCCCTTGACTCAGTCACAGAATGCTGTCAGTTGTGATACATGTCAGAAGTCAACTAATCATACAAAGATTGTGGTGATACAAAGGATACCAGATAATAGCTAGAGGTGTCTGAATATCAAGACCCACTAGGATTTGTTGGAATTGATTCTGTCAAATTTCAATGTTACTCGGTAGTCAAATTATCTTCTCTTGGCTTGCGATGCATTCTAACCTTCACTAAGTGTCGTTAATTGTCTCTATGCTCTTACCGGTTTCTTTTTTAAAGGCTGAACTCAAACACTATAATTGTAAGCTTCATCTCAGTGTAAAAACAAGTGTTTATACAGTGTTAAGATGGTTCTATAGTTGGACATATGGCTACCGCGGAATGTTTGACTAAGTCGTTGTTTTTCATGATCAATTTTAGTTCGTCAAAATTATTTATTTGCGAGCATTGAAACATTCGCATAGGGCATGACGGATCTACTTACTATGACCGATATTGTAGTCAGTGGACTAGCAGATAATGATCTAGTGTTTGAAGCGATGGGTGCTGGGCTCGAGTCTCAGTGGGAAGGACACCACCCACTGGGGCCCAGGCACATTCAGCTGACGATAAAACGCACACCCCTGATTTCACTGTTAGCCTCCACCAAGTAAATTACAACTGGAAGTAGAATCGGTCTGTAAACAAGGTTCGTAAGCGGATAAACTGAAACTGTGTGTACTCGAAATAAGTTAGGAACCGAATTTTCTTGTCAGCTAACTCTGTAGGCATTTGACAATACAGTGCTGACAAAATTATGATTTAAACGCTAATAAATTGGCTGCATGTAACAAAAAAAGTCTCGTATGCGAAATACATGATTATGAAGATTGTCCCGTTTTGTTATTACTCCGTCATATGCAATCATTTGAGCTATCACAAGTGTCTTCTAATAGGATTTGAATCAAGACTGTTCATGTAATGGTCTACAATGGTTAACCTATTAGTTATACATTCAGCTCCAAATATAAATCGACTTATTGACCACCAGAACATAACTGCAGGGTATTTTACTTCAATTGTTGCGGTAAATTACCTCACTACGCCATTCACAACTTGTGTGTGACATCCACCAATCAACAATAGATGACCAAGTCCTCAAAAGCAACCAATCATATTTGCTCACAAAGGGTTTAAATATTTTGCTGATCAGTTCTCGTAGGACTAACAAACTCTACCTCTCTTATCCAGTGACCTTGAACGGTTAAACTTATTTTAGGGCCAATAGAAAGTGCTTGTGTATTATCCAGGGGGACATTTGATAAAGCTGTTAGAGGTGACACTGTATGACCTTTTTAGGGTAAGTCTCAATTTCTTTCTAGTGTTCTTGTTGTTCTCAAGCCGAAGAAACTAGGGATAAATATGCACACCATAGGATCCCATTCTGAACCTTAATCCAACCAGTGGAACCTAAAACTTAATTAGAAGGAAGAAAACCTTTGCTATTAACTTGTAAATAAGAAATTAATCTGCCAGTGGGTTCTCCTTGTTTAGCGCTGGCGCTGATTAGCGCATGCGACTACAAATATTAAGTCAACAGAAAAAATCCTTATTTCATACTTCTAATAACATGAAAACCGAGCAAATCCGACATTATTTTGTTCGTAATTTGAACTGCAGACTTTTTAAAGCTTTATACGTACTAAAATATTAGTGAACAACCAACTAGCATTTGATTGGTTGATTCAAGGCCATTTAGAGGTTACTGCAGGGCTGCAGAATTACTGGTTCTCATACCACTCACTTTTGTTAGTTTCACTGTTTTATTTGGTATGGCAGCTGGTTGGATGGAATTCACTTGTAGCATAGGATTCGGATGAACAGAAAACTCAAAACCCAACATGATAATAATGGTAAGATTTTGCAGTCATTGTCATAAAGTTCAAATTCTCGGCGGACAAAACTCAAATAATTGTTTAAGGTGTACATTCCTGTGATAATAATTTTCTTATAAGAATATGTATGGGTTGGGTAAAAAGCCGTTTTGTCAATGGATTCTATTTTAGATGAATCGTGTACTACAATACTTAAATTTGGCTCGAAATCAGTTTAGCTCTGATGGAGCGGAACTACTTGGTGACGCCATCAGCTCAAATGATAATTTATATGAAATTAATCTGTCATGGAATTCTATCACTGGTCCAGGTGCATTGTGTATTGCAAGAGGACTGAAGGTAAGTCTTACGCTGTCATAGTATAACGTGCCTACTTATTTGTTGATTGAGTTTAGACGGCAGCCAATGAGCTACATCTATTGTGTAAGGGCTACCTGTTATAACTTTATCTGCCCGGAATTGAGTGAATCACGTGATTAGGCATAGTTATAGTACCAACACTGACCTTGAACGTAACTGGTCTTCAGTATATCTGCCCCGTCTTCTGTACTCAACCCACCCACACACGGTGACTCACGCAATTTTGTCCTCTCAAGCGTTTACCACCACACAAAATGTTCAGTATTATATATATATATATATATATATATATATATATATATATATATATATATCTGAAGTATAAGCGGTACAGAAACGACTGAGGGATCAATTAAAAGCTCCTTAATCAAGCTATATAATAATATTACCAATTAGATTATAAGTGGAACTATTTTTAAACTAAATAAGATAATGAGATCAGTGACACTTAACTGAGATTCAGATTTCCCACTTTTTGACTAATGTAACACTACCTGACTGTACACGCCTGGATAGGTGACGCCAAGTTTCAACTCGTAACTTATAGGACAGTGATCAAGTGCATAGAGCAATGAGTAATCATCTTAATCTAAATCAACATAGGACCAGGCATTACTGCATAACGGTCGGAGTTGCCATAGTTCATATCAGTACAGCAAGTAAAAAGACAGTGAAATGGAAGATGAAGAAAAGAAAATTCAGTCAAAACAAATATAAAGTACGAAAAGAAGAAGGGAAGAATGAGAAAATGGTGAGATTCGGTATATCGTTAAGATGAGGATAATGTATGTATACATCTGCGCCACTGACATCGGTTCTCAGCCATATCGACTACGTTCAGTCTCCAACTACTGGTTTTTCTTGTCCCGCGGACCCCAACCGGCTAGTCTGCATCGTCCCACATGGCTCAAACCGACAGTCAAAGACTTCATACATTAATGAAATGTTTTGGTCTGGCCAATCAGAGCCTTTTTCCAGCCTGAATCTACTTTGGCCAACATTGTGTGATGAGGCAATTAGTGACTAAGCGTACGTAACACATGTCACAGTCAACTATCTCAGTCGATGAAGGTTCACAACTGTGTCAACTGACTTACCTCTTCTCCCTAAAACTTTACGCCTGACTTCTGTGTTACTCACGTTGTGACACCACGAAGGCAACGGTGGTCAGACACCTGAAACCTTCTCATGTCTTTCACCTTCAATGGCCGTTTCACAGCCATACAGTAGAACAGACCGGACTGTTGTGCAGTACACGCAACCCTTAACAGATAATCGGATATCACGGTGGCGTCACAGGTAGTGTGAGTTTTCAAAAGCCAACTGAGACTTTTGTATGCGTGCAGAGATTTCGTCACTCACTGACCAACTCATCAAGGTAGGGCTGATTCGACTTTTCAGGTAAGTGAAGTGATCAACACACTCAACCACTTCATTCTCTATTGTTAGCCGAAAGACCGTTGAAGACCAATCCTGTAGCAACAGTTTGCATTTGGCTGGTGAGAAACGCATCCCAAACATCCTCAGATTGCCAGTCAATGTCCAGACGACTGCATATTGTCAGCGTCCTCATATAACAGGACTATATCACCTGCATTTTCTAGGTCTATTGAAAATTCTTCTGAGATTAGGTCAACGTCTGTGTAATCAGGTGACGAGTGGGAGACCTCCATAAGAATATCTGTGATAAAACTGAATAAGAATGGAGAGAGTGGGCAGCCTTGACGGACACCACTTGACGAGTACAGATTCCCGGACATCTCACCACAGGCTCTAACACGTCCATGAGTGTTCTAGTAGAGAGTCTTCAGTAAGATGATGTACTTACTCGGCACGCCTTTCAGTGAGAGACACTGCAATGAGGCTTCTCGATCAACGGAGTTGAATGCCGCTTTCAGGTCAAGAAATGCAGCTAGTGTCGGGCTTCGGTAAGCGTGCCTGTGTTCCTGAACCTAACGCAATGTGAATATTTGTTCGATGAGTAGTGAGAAATAGATTTAATTAATCAATGGTTATTCCTGAAGTCAACTTAGATGTTGTACTGAGTGCAGGCTTACACTGCACCAGATCTTTTTGGAAACTGTTTGATAATTCACATATGAATATGCGATACAGTTTGTATTTTATGAGGGTCTTATTCTTCAGGTGGTATTCATCATGGGCTGACATCAGTTAGAGAGGTATTACACACTTGGCAGCACTAACAGGAAGCCGTCCCTTTGTGGTAAGTCAAATTGGAAGTGAACTGGATGCCAATTGAGGGCCTTGATACATAGTTGTTCTATATTGTGAATTGACAAGAGTAGAAAACTGTGGTCACTAAGTAGTCAACATGTACGCCACGAGACCTGAAGGTCCTGAGTTAAATCCTGGATGGGGTAACGAGTGCATTCTACTGAAGAGTCCCATACTAGGACGAAACAGTTACCCATTATGCTCAAGATTTGAACTATTTATGCTCGGAGGCGAATAAAGCTGAATTGAAAATTTTGGCCTTGCCGGTATTCCAACCAGAAACAGCTGGGCGGGCTTCTCGTCTGGTGTTCTACCAATTGAACTACGGCCTTGAAAGTAACACCACTGTAGCTTCATTAGCCATAGGGAAAACTCCTGTCCAATGTTTCTTTCTTTCCCTCTTCATCTGACTAAGTTCAGTTTATTTCTAGGCATTGCACAATCTTTCATGTAGCCTAAATTTCTATTTCTAAGAGTTTCTTTACTGGTCTTGGTGAAGTAGTCACTATAATATAACTTGCTTTCTAAATAGATAATTTACTAGAAGATACTTTCAATAACTCGTTTTCTTTTCAGGAGAATATTCGAATCAAGATTTGTGATTTATCATGGAATGGATATGCTGGCAAATCTGGTCTGGAGATAGCTCAAGTGATCAAAGAGAATACTTCATTGACTGAATTAAACTTACAATATAATAGAATAAGTGATGCAGAAATTGAAGCTATCAGTCAGGCAATATGTATTGCTAGTGAATCGAATGAAACAAAGTTAAGCTTGTTGAACGTTAGTAGTAATCCTATTAGCACAAAAGGAATGTTGAATTTCTTCAAACAACTTAATAAAGCTCAAAGTATAAAAATGAAAACACTAATGTTAGAGGTAGTTGCCTTATTTTAGTCACATAATTGTTGCTACTTATCTTGATATTTAAGAAGTATGTTGGATAATCAAAAATAATTAACGATATCAGTATGTTGAAAGCGTGCTTTGATAGGATATCTATCTCAATCATTATATGAGATTGGAATGACATAATACTATTTATGGCAATAATGTTAGCAATAGCCTTATTAATACCAGATATAAAGGTTAGTAATGTTAGTCTGGCCTGGAAAGGATTTTCAGAGGCAAATGTATTTGTTGAAATTTGAAACACTTAAATACTCTCATTCAGTCAATAAAGAATAAAGACTTCAACGCATATTTTTGTTTTGACAGATTTTGTGGATTTATTTATTGATTCCAAGTTGGTATTCATCAAGGTTGTTGTGTCCTGGTATTGAACTTCTCAGAAGTGCTCACTCATAACCAGACGGAACTTCAAGGTCCAGGGCTTGATCCAAGGCGATATCATTCTCTCTAGCTTCACAGTCACATTAAGATATAATTAGTATACATAACGATGTCAGTATTTGTTAGTCCAAAGCTGTTAGCAGTTTGTGGTCCCGAAAGTAAAAAGGAATGGAAGTTAGTTAAGCAATATGGAAGTAATAGACAATACAAGTAAATGTGAGTTGAAATCATGGAGTAAAAAATTTGTAACAGAGTGAGCAAAGAGTCTGTTTGGTTGTGGCTAGCAGAGGAATCCAGGATGCGCACTTCGCCCTACTTGCGACTCGGCAGTTGGATGTGTCTGCACCTAAGCGAGTGATGTTGTTCCCACTGATACTCGCTTTAAACGCCAAGGCGTTATCGACTATGCCAGGGAGGAACGAAAGGCACTTTCTGTACAACGGGTAGTAGTTATTACTGTTTATTGACATACTTGTTCTTCTCCGTTGTTTTGTTGGATCGAATTGTTCCACCTCTATAGGCATATGGGCTCTTATGCGGATACCTCGATATTACCTGAATGTTAATTAAGGTAATTTGTTTGGTTGTGGTTAGCAGACAGGTGTAAGAGTGAACAAGAGAAGGAGAAATTTGTTTTGGGCAATAACAATATGGAAGTTAAAAGGTTATAGGTTTGACTTGATAATGAACTGATGTCAGTTGGAGGAACATTGGAAAACTGGGAGCACTGGGTAGCTGTTTCGTCCCACTAGAATGGGACTCCTCAGCAGTGCACACCTATGACCCCGCCAGGGAAGTAGGAAATGTGAGTCATTGGGTGTCGACCCATTGAAAAGATTCAGCTGTTCGGTGCTTTAAGGTTTCCAATGTTCCTCCACCTGATGTCAGACCATGATGAATTCCAGCCTAAAATCAGTTAATAAATCTCCACAAACCTTCAGATAGAAATGAAAGATTAGTTAGGAATTGGAAAGTTTAGGAATTATATAAGTGAATAAGGATAGGGAATGGCAAAGTTGCTTGTGGATACACAATTCTGATTTTTCTGGTTGCGCTGCTATAAATTCGGCGTCATGGGATATACGGTCATATGTATGAACTGTGTCCTGAACCGGTGCAAGGATGAACAACGAAAAGAAGCACTGAAAACAATCTACAAAACACTGGACAAAGAAGTGAAATGGAGTGCGCGCAAAGACAAAAGACACTTCCACGACACACTTCCAAGTGAAACAGAACAGCCTGCAGTTAGGAGAGATAGAGACCTGACAACATCATATCAAATAACCAGGTTACTACCTAGAAGGGAAGAGATCTACGTAGATGAAACCAATGAAAGAAAGCAAAAAAACTTAGTTACCGCCAAAGAGGAGAAACAAAGGAAACAATGGGCTGGCCACTTCAAAAAACTCTTGAATCGACCACCACCACCACTACCACCTGCAACTCGTCCAGAAATACCACCAGCAGACCAGCCTCAGAACTACCAGTGAACACAAGACCTCCGACAAAAGCAGAAGTGATGTCCTCAACGCCATAAAGTTGCTGAAATTCAGAAAAGCAGCAGGACCAGATGGAATTCCTACAAAAGCACTGGAAACAGACGCAGACACAACATTGGACATGCTAACACCACTACTGCAGAAGGTTTGGAAGGAGGGAAGGGAAGGTACCTACCTACTGGAAGAAGAACTACCTCGTCAAACTCTCAAAGGAGCGAAACCTAAGTCTTTGCAAGAACTGGTGTGGAGTCATGCTCCACTCCTGTATATCACAAGCAGTATATTATGTCGCATCATCCTGGAGAGATTAAAAGGTTCTCTGGACTCAAAATTACAACCGGAACAGGCTGGCTGGCTGACTGGATTCAGGAAGAACAAATTATGTGCGGACCAAATTGCAATGCAACGCTACGCATCACATCATAGAACAGAGGAGAGAATGGCAGTCAACTCAACCTCAACTTCATCGATTTTGAAAAGGCCTTTAACAGCGTGGACTGAGAAGTAATTTGGCAGTTGCTTCAACACTACGGTTTTAGTGTCACAAACCTTTATCAACCTCATTTAACAGGAGCTATGTGCTATATGGTGCTACATGTCAAAGGATTCACAATGGAAAGCAGCTCATTGATGCCTTTGAAGTGAAGACAAGAGTAAGACAAGACTGCCTACTGTCACCCATGGTCTTCCTGATTGTGGTCGACTGGATCATGCAACAAACCGTGGGGAGGGAGAAGACGGGCATACACTGTTTGCCTGATGAAAAGAGCCTATAAGATTTGAATTTCGTCGATGATGATCTATGTCTGATGTCGCAAAAAGTCGGAAAACTACAGGCGAAAACCAACCAGTTGACAGAAGAGGTGAGGCAGCGAAGACGGAACTTCAAGTGGACGTACGTGAACTTAGAGAAGACAGAGGTGATGAAGATACCCAACCAACAACAACAAGCATTAGTCACCATGATCGGGAGAAACTTAAATGAAGTAGTACCTTTCACCTACCTAGGCAGCATAGTCTCAACTACAGGTGACACAGATAAGGATGTCAGAAACAGGATCGGAAAGACAGCAGGACAAGCCTTCCTTTTTTATTCTGAAATCAGTGTGGAGTCTTGCCCCACCCCACCCCACTCCACTCCACTCCACTCAGCATAAAGTGTGAACAACATCCGGATTTTCAACACTAAGTCAGACAAGTTACTCAGTGATTCTATGTGATGATTGAGAGACTTGGCGTGTCACAGAAAGCATTCACAACAAACTGCAGACATTATACATGAACAGCTGTCACCTACTCTCATTCGATACTGAAGATGGAGATCAGATGGTGAGAATAATAAGAATAAGCAACAAGGAACCCAGTTTGACTGGCAAGGAACCAACGAAGCCATGACCTATCGCCCAACAAGTACTCAGAAGAAAAAAATGGAGATGGATTTGATTGGATGGGCATGCACTGAGAAGATGGTTTGGGGACATCACGTGCCAGGCCAAGCCAGGGGAGGTGAGGCGAGGCGAGAGGAGGCCATTGAGTGGAAGTTGAGTGGGAAACGACTATTCGGGCGTCCGGGGTGAGGGTGAGATGGAGGATATTGTGTGAGAAAGAAATGAAAACTTATGTGCAGTTGTGGAGCCAGGTTCAGAAGACTGTAGAGAAGAGGGTGAAATGGTGGTGTGCTAGTGAATCTGTATGTTCCACTAGGAACCCAAGGGACTAATAGTAATACTAATAATGTACTGTATTCAGATGATGAAAGTTAAGGCAGTGGGAAAATTTGACTAAAAATCTAAAATTCATTTCATCTTACTACAAAACAGGATATTTCAGTTTATTGATTTATTTAGGTTTTTGACAAGGTAGCCAGAAGGCCCTAGGTTTATTAGGAAGGAATAGAACTTCAAAGTGCTCACACGAAAATACTCAACAAGGTTTAAAATTTACTGACATTACACCAAGAAGGGGTTGGTCAGTTATTGATGAAGAGTTTACAACTGAGTGGTTATTACACCTTCGAAGAATACTTCCATTTATGTAAGTGCAATCTTTATGTTTGTAAAGAAACATCATGAAATACCAAAACATTTCGCAGTAATAATAGAAAGAAGAAAATTTAAACAGCCAAACAAAATGACCTAGTGTCTGCTCAACAATGACAACTTTCATTTTCTGATGATACAGTGTAGTATGCAATGAATGGCTGATTCACTTTAGAGGTTTATAGGATTGTTTTATCTCGAGATGATGTTCATCACTAACTGACATCAGTTGGAAGACCGTTGAGAGCACCGGACACCTGTTTCGTCCTCAACAGTGTGCAGTCATGATCCGAGATGTTAAAGATACCAGGGGCTGCAGATTTTATGCCAAGCACATTACCATTCAGCTATTCAGTTGGCTTCTAGAGAGTAACCAATTTCATATCGTCTCTTTGAGGGCGCCAGTGATCAATCAATGTACTCAATTCAATTATACAACCATTATCCGAATCACTTATAAGTAACATGAGTCTAACTCTCAGTGGGAACTTAAGTTCTTTTCAAGGTTACTGATATACCCTGTTGACAAGCGCCAACAAGGCCAAAGCCTAGATGGGGCAGAACGTTCTGACACACCCATAGCCTCCATCCAGTTTACACAGTTATGTATAATTTAGTCAGTTTAAAATAGATTTTACAAAGATTAATCAGATTGTTAAACTTTTAGGATATTCCAGTCAACTTTGACTGTTTACAGTTGATTGATTCCCTGAATATTAATTTTCCTGAATTGTGTATAACTCATGGACCACAATTGATTGTTGGCAATACACAAGATGATATCCAATCAAAGGCTGGTACATTTGTTGATTTATTATTTCTGTTGAAGAGTCAAATAAATTATAATGGAAAAATATTCACTGATTTGTTACAACAATTCGATGTTGACAAACGTGGAACAGTGACGGTTTCACAGTTTATGGAAGCTTTAAAAGTGGGTAATGTTTTCTTTTTTCGACTGAATTCAGTGTAGTGTGTACTGAATTAAATATTCACCTCTTTTGACTGATACATATTCTAGGTATTCAACGTGGAAAAAAAATCGTCAATATTCGGCAGAAAAACAGTTATAACTGATATGCAATACCTATAATTGTCTTTAGAATTCTAAGTGGTCATCTTAGAGAGACCACACCTTAAAAGCTTATAAATTATTGTCTCAAATGGTATACTACTCCTCACACTGGAGTTCATAGGAAATGGATTTGATGACACAGAATTGTGTTGCAGAGTTTTTAAAGGTTGAGTTACAAGGAGATGAAGTGATTTCGGTTGTACAGTGTTGACTGGTATTGAGTAGGTTGACGATTTTACCTTCAGTCAGCATTGCAACCGAAGGTTACAAGTCATTGTAGTAGAAAGTGTTCTGTTTCTCTTTCATCAATGTGGTAGAGATTACCGTAATTGTCACAATCATAATTGAATTTTGAGGGAGTTGTGAGGATATGGGAATATTTCAAGTTGTTATTCATCGTAAACTGACATCAGTTGGAGGAACAAAGGAAACCTAGGAGCATTGGACAGCTGTTTCGTCCTAGTATGGGATTCTTCAACAGTGAGCACTCACGACCCCGCCAGAGACCGAACCCGCGACCTTCAGGTTCCGTGGCCAGCACGTTACCATTGAACCAGTGGGTCAGAGCTAACAGAAGTTGGAAGGAAATATGGACCATTGGATTCTGACCCACTGGCTCAATGGTAATGTGCTGGCCACGGAACCTGAAGGTCACGGGTTCGGTCTCTGGCGGGGTCGTGAGTGCGCACTGCTGAGGATTCCCATACGAGGACGAAGCAATTGTCCAATGCCCCCAGGTTTACTTCGTTCCTCCAACTGATGTCAATCTACGATGAATAACAATCATAGTTGTTGCGACTTAATTCATCAATTTCTTGTTATTCAAACTTTTCATTCTGGAATTTATCTCGGTTTCATAATCCTGTTAGAAATACTTCTATGATTTCAAGTTTATTTCAAAAACTTAAAACAGTAAGTCATCCTTGTAAGTTTTGCTAAGACAGTCAGAAGATATAGTTTATCTGAAAAGATGTATGGTGCATTAGTGCAAAACATTATGAACAATTTGGCCACAATACAATCCAGTTAAAGGTTCAATTGTCACTTTAGATCACCCTGGGCATGAAACTGAGCTACCGAGGGAGGTTAAGCGTAACAACAAATTCTTTTTGAATGCTTAGAATAGCTCTAAATTTCCTCATAGCTAAAGCTTCGACACAACTGAGAATAGATGCCCGATAGCTTTGGTAAATAGGCTGGAAAGATGTAAACCTATTTCAGCGATGTATTGGACAGTAATGATGCCGTAAGGTTTACTCATTGTTACCATTTATGACTGAACCATTTCAATTTGGAGGTTTGTGGGCACTTTTTTATTGATTAGTCAATGGTTCATTGATAATATACAGGCCGTGGAATCTATAGGTCCTGAATTCGATGCATAGTGGGGTTGTGAATGCGCACTGCTATAGAGTTCCATACTAGGATGAAATAACTGTCCAGTGCTCCCAAGTTTCCAATGTCAGTCCTTGATAAATATCAACCTGCAAATAATAAATAAATCTCAGGAAAGCTTTAAAATGAATTATGAAAATTTATTTGAGAAATATTTTAATGACATTGTAGTTTGCATCAACTGACAATCACTGAATAGTATAAAGTTTCTTGGTGTGTAAATCCTTGGTGTTGACCAAATCCTTTCGATCATAATATGGTGTGGTCACCCAGGCGGTAAACTTGGTATCACAGTTCACTTTAACCAGTGTTAAATAAAGAAGCTAATCGCTTAACACCTTATCAAATAGTTTAGTAATACTGATTGTCTCAAATCAGACATTGTTTGGGTTGCTTTTTTCAGGAAATGTCCTATATTTCACTTCTTTCCATCTGGTTAAAAGATGAGAAGGCGAAGAGTAGATTGTTATCGGCTGATGAAGGATGGTGAAACACTATCAGTCAGTTACATTCGACAGACTTTTTAGTCCTAGATCATTGCAATCATATCCAGTAGGACTATACATGCTTTAACCTTACGTCAAAATCCATATTTTACTACGAAAGAAATAGGCTTGTATCAATCAGTGAGATTATTTATGGGTACTTGTCATTTCACGTTTTTAAACATGTTTTATAAATCTTGGATAGATGAGATATGAAGAACATTAGGTAATTTTTAGAAGCTTGGCCATCATATCATTCAGCAATCAATAGACATCAACATTGAAGCAGTCTGTCAACCAATAGGAAATAGAAGCAACAAAAATGTCGAAGTTCAAATCAGTAAGGCAGCCAATCAAAATATATTTAGAGACAATGACAATATCCTAGTAAGAACAGCCAATCACATTCAAGGTCATTAGGACAAGCTAATAAGTCACTTATGTAGAAAATTTCATAGCTAACTTCTTTGTGAAGTTCCTACTGACGATGTTGCCTAGAATGTTAATGAAAGTTTCCAGTTGAGAGGACATAACATGGCAAAAAAATCTTCCGCCGTAGCTAAAAATACCCTCTATCTTCTTAGGATACACTTTTTGCCATCTCCAAATTCTTCAGTATTTTATGCTTAAATACACCTTATTTATCAGCCCATTTGTGTCATTCATTCTTCAACTAAATTTTTAGCAGTCTGCAATGAGTTATGGCTCCTAGTTATTCTATATCAACGAAGTATTTTAGTTAAATATACTTTATCAAGAGCTTGAACCATTGAGATATGCATAATCTCAGGTTAGTCAAACAGCTGATCGTGTAAAAAATGATTCAAGATAGATGTGAATTTTCATTAAAGCTACAATTATGATGAACATGAAATCTACAAATTCAACCTGTTGTAATCAGGTAGGTTTATAAAAGCTGAAATCATAATGATAAACTCAGCTGAAACCAATTATTTAGAAGCCGTGTCAACTCTTGCAATGTATGCAATTATATGTAATCATTCACTTGGTTGGAATAATAAAATAACAATAAAAGGGAGTGTAATTAAACGGAGAGACACTGGTCATCATGACCGTATTCATCATATAACGAAAATGAAGAAAATCTAGTGACCAATCAGTATATCTCATTCACTCCTACAGGAAGTCAATCACAGCCTGGATAGCTCAGTAGCAACATAAGTGCCTGCAATACTGGATGACATGACTTTTGATCTCATCAAGGGGAAATTGGTTTCTTTGAGGTTTCAGATAAACCTAGCTGAAATACGGCTTCTTGTAGATTGCTTCCAACCACTTAACACCCATCAAAATACCCCAAAATACTAAGCTTCCTAACTTGGTTGCCACATTGCAAAATACTCGATAAAATTCAGTCAGTTGTCATGATTAGACAATGTGAAATTGGCTGCTGTTCAGTGACCAGTCAGATCTATCTAGATGTCGCTAAAAAGCCAACCTCCAATAAATAAACAGTAATGTAACGATTAAAGTAAGTCGTGGAGTTATGTAAATGACCTTGATACGATTATGAGCAGTCAAATATGCTTAAAATGTCAACCAATAAAAAAGAACCACCGTGTAAGCAGTGCTGAGGTCGGGAAAAAGGCACTACACAAGACACACAAGTCGATTGATGAGGTTGAGAACATTAGTCGACTGAGATGTCTTGGACAAATATTGTGCATGACAAGTCATCGCCTACCTCGACGTGCCATGCTGGGAAAGGATTTATGAGAATGGTAAAGGGTTCAGAGTGGCCAGACAAAAATATATCACCAGTTGGTGAAGTGCCTGACTGTTGGTCTGAGTCCTGTAGGGAGATGTAGACTACCTGGTTGGGGTCTCTAGGACAAAAAGAGTCAGTGATTGAGGCCTCTTGGTGATATGGCTGAAAATCGGTCACAGCAGCGCACATGTATTCACTGTTTAACAACTTCCTAAGCTTGAATATTCACACTAACCTTTATCTACAGATTGTTTATTCTCTCACACTACTTTATCTACTTTGTTACTAATGTTTTTCTATCCACCTATTCTTTTTGTACTTCCGTAAAGTGTGGCAAATTGAGCCGCTAACTTCCTCGTTGATCTTATCAATCACTGCCATACAGTCTTTCTGCAATCATACCTCACAATGAATGTTCTCAAGGAGTACCAGTGAAAGCCCAATCATCAATATCAACAATTACACAGATATACAGAGGGGTTCAATTCCCCTGCATACATATCGATTGTCGTAGTCGCGTCGCATGATAGGGGATTACTTCATCAAAGACAGTTTATGTCCATACGAGAAAATGGACACAAGAACTGTCTGCAGGCCATCTCCACTTCAGACATCACATTCACTAACTAACAGACAAATCGAAAACTCCGAATCCAACCAAATTCAAAGGTCCCACATAGTGCATCAGGTGGTCAGAAGCAAGTCACCGTGACAGAATACTGTGGTGTTGACTATGGCGATTCATCGCATAACGAAGAACTTCATCATTCCTACCAACTACATCTAGGTTACTCTGACTTGAGCTGGACACAAGATATCAGGGTATCATCTACAAAACTCAGGGTCGTTGACAAACAGAGCCAAAAGTGTATGATAACACTGCCTGCTCAAAAAAGCCTCAGTGAATTTGGTTTATTGAAATTGGCAAATTTGTGTAACCATTTCACTGTTAAAAGTCTCATGGCAACTGGTTGAGATGATGTTAAAGCACTTCTTCAAATTTAGTGATGTACAGTATTGGAATTCTACATTTAAAGCTATGAGAAAGGTTTTTGTGAATACTTATCAATTTTTTTAAGCGGGGTGAGAGAGGTTCATCAAATACTCTTATTCAAAATATTACCAAATCATTTCCCTCATTTTCAGCTGCAATCCAGTTACTTCAGACTACTCCAAAGCACAGATTCAGCAGAAGAGTTTTGGGGAATAATTTCCCACATGCCAGTGAAATGTTACTAGCCAATCAGAAGAGATCATTGTACTATCAATGTTTATTTCGAAGGGAGATGTGTTATAGCGTGGAGAAGAATTGACAAAATATTCATAAGAAATCATATACACCTGAAGCCTTTTTCAACCAGTCGCTTTACTTCAAAATGTTTTGGGAAAAATACGCAAATCAACGTGTGGGTATCAAGGCTCCCGCCTATTTGCATTATGGAGAAACTGAGTGATGATTAAGGGTGGAGTCTGAAGTCACTGGTAAAGACATAAACTTTCACACAATTAAAGTTGTACTTTGCCCACTGCACGAATGTGTACCAGGTTACTGAGTACGTTTCATTTCAATCCCACACTATCATAAATTAATCAGTTATGGAATATGGAAGTTTGTTCAAATTTGTTAATCATTCTGTTATGATGCAATCTATACTACTGAACTTGTTACCGATGACGCTCACTGTATTCCGTAACCAACCGTCGACAGTAGATGATGAATCAATCACATGAATTCTGATAAAGTCGTTAAACTCAACAGTATTCGTCGATAGCAGTCTATAGTTACAGTACTGAGTTCGATTACTGAGAAGTTTATTTTATCGCGTTACATAATATATCAACTTAATTTAACTATACGTTAACAGATTTAGTTATTACATAACACAATTCTGTGAAATAATCTTTACATTCCAGAGAGTATTTTTTTTCACAAATGGGATCATTGATTGTGTATTCACAGATATGCCTTTTCTGTCTTTTTTTAACATATAAGCTAATCGGAGTGAATTACAAACGTGAACAGATAATCGACTTACAACAGCGTTTAGATCGGTATGCTGATGGGACTATCTATTACAAGTAATAAATTATGTTTCTGAAATATTTGAATTTCAGTTTGACTTCAAGAGTCTTACATTTTTGTTGAGTAATAGTCTTATAGCTGTTTTCTTCGGTAGACAAACAACGTATAGGAAATTAAAAGATGTTGATCTCCTGAGGAGTCCCATACACAGACGAAACAACTGCCCACTGCTGCTGGTCCGGGATAAAAACTACTCAATAACTTCTTTCTGGATATGTCACACTTGAATTAAGGTCTGAACAAAATGGGTTTCTGACAGGGTAATTTTATCCTCCTTAATTCACTTTCTATCTCACTCATGTACTTAGTACTGAATTCGGCTGGTCATTTATTTTTACTTAATAGACTGAAGACAGTCTTATTGCAGAGGATGAAAAGCCTAATTGTAGAACATACTGTAGTGTCAACTTCCTGTGTATAATTTTTATCTTGAATAGGAATTATAGCTACATGAAAAATCCCTGAAAATTGGCAAACTCTACGAGACGAGAAGTAATTTCTTTCGATTCAGTTGGAACGATCATCATCAAAACTGTTCATAGACCTAGCTATAATCAGTGATATCTTTTCAATAGCTGGTAAGCTTTCTGGAACGACCCCACCACCATATTCAATCTGATTGGTCACTTCATGGTCTTTTGTTAATCACTCAAGGATGGAGAAATTGTGTGGTTCTAGCCTGGTTTGTAGTATGTTTATGAAGTTTAACAATATGAAACTGATGTCCAGTGTATTTTCGTGTTGAGCTTGATGAGTTAGCTTAGTATATTGTCAGTTTCGACGGGAATAGATAAATGGGTTTATCGCTTATTTCACAGTTACAGATATATCTTGGTGATGAGTACTAAAAAACACGAAACCGACATCAGATGGAAACTTTCTGCCGACTGACTGTCATCATCTAACACACTGTAAACTTACTCGATAGATATTGGAATTACGTAAGTGTACCAGTCGACATTTTATGTCACATCTTAGAAAACACTTTCAAAACGAGGCATAAAATGCACATGGATAAACAGGTCGTCTTCTTGCAGATAAGCATAAATAAAATGATCTCCCTTAGAGTAATTCAAATGAATTCCGTGTGTTTGGATGAAAATATATCAGGCACCACTTTGTATGCACTAGTTTCCTCCTGAAAAATCTTTTAAAGCTCAACTGTTCTGGGTATTGTGACCTCAGTATACTATAGCTCAATGCTGATTGTATTTTCTATTGATAAGTGATAAATAATAAGTAGTATATGGCATGCGGTTTTAAAAAATTAAAAAAATTTCAAGACAGTTTTCATCATCAATCAGAGTCAGCTTCAGTACCATCGAAAACGTTGGAGAACTGGATAGCCATTTCATCCTGTTTAAAGAATTTTCAGTGAAGCACTTTTACAGCGTAGTGAGTAGTCTAGTTCATAGACGTGGTACCTTGTAATAAGAGCATTACAACTCAACCACCAGGTTGGAATTTATTGATTCATTGTTTCTGACTACCACCACTTCTCAACATAGACTAGCTTTCATACAGTGCCATCGAAGCTTAACAAATCTCACTTCAAACTTGACTGACCCAACAGATAACAACTTTTCATAAGAACTTTGGTAATTATCTGTCAGAAAACACGTTTTCTAGTGTAATTAGCAAATTTTCACTAAATATATTTATGACTGAGAAGACCGACTGGGGACATCACTCGTCAAACCCTCAAGTGGACCCAGATGGGAAACTACGAGTTGGGCGTCCCAGCTGAGGGTGACATGGAGGAGATCTTGTCAGGAAGAAATGTAAGCTACTGGGCTATCATGGAACCAGGTTCAAAAGTTTGCAGAGAACAGAGCGCACTGGAGACATGCTACTGAAGCCCTATTTTCCATTAGGAACCCAAGGGATAAATAATAATAATATTTATGATTATTCATGAGTTACTTATGAGTAGCATAAAATTTAGTCAAAAATATATATATATATATTTCAATATGTTTCTATGTTTAGTAAATCGTCTTACACTTTTACACATTTCAGAGACTACCTAAATAAGCAAACCGATACCATTGACGTCATACATTCCAAATCCAGTTAGTATAGAAGCAGCAGTAATTCTGCACTATGGACGGAACAATAAAGCTTAAACTTGTATTCTGATACGTAGCAGCCGTGTTTTTTTTCCAAAGGCATATATGAATTCTTTTGCATTTCTTTTGTTCAAATACGATTTTTCCTAGATAGTGTTATTGTGTGTGAACAATGCTGTTTTCAAATAACCATCATCAGGCTTTACGTTAATATGTGTAAATTTTCTCATTGAATCAATCTTGGTGGATTTTTTAGTCTGTAGTAACTAGGACATGAAGCATGCAAATAGTAGATACCCAAACAATGATAATAATAATAATGGGTGATGATTGAAGATAAAATGAAAATTTACGACCACCGGGTTCAAACCAGTGACCACTGAGTATCCGACTAGATGCTGTACCAGCTATGGGTAAAATGCCATAAAGGATTTTGTGTAATTTGATAGGTTATTCTGAATGCTTTGGTCTTGTCTATTGCATAACCACTGTAGACCAAATGAAACAGAATTGAATTTCTTATTGACTTCACTTGTCCACTTCCTAGCTGTGACGGTAGGTGCTCAGCAACACGTTTGTTAAGTTGCCTAGTTGTACATCCTATATAGTTTTCTGCACATGAGCAGCTCAAATGATAAATTCACATAAAAGTGTCAGAATTGGGCAATTTGTCTTTTGTCTGAGTAACAACTATCGATCGACTAGAAAATGATTTGCAAAGGTTAACAGCATAGAACTTAACCAAGTTTTTCCCCTCTAACTTGAAGTTTCATCGATAATGATTTATTTTGAACAATCATTCTATCAAATTTCTTACTCATTTTGTTCATATGTTTCTTGATAAAACTATAGAGGTAACCCATTTCTACCGGGATATTATGGATGTGTAAATAAGTATACAACTCAACAACAATAGAAAAATAGCAATAAGACGAATCACTTGGTGTGAAGAGATGAGTTGCTCACCCCTCCTCAACTTTGAGAGCTTATTAGAATGAGCATCTTAAACCACAAGTCACTTAATACACTGACAGTTGAATAATGTTTGTATAGCACCATTTATAGACCAGAACTTATGGTTCGTTGATTTATTACTTTATATTACCTGTAAATTTTCGTTGTTACACTGGGTGGAGTTGGTCGACCTCTGTTAGCATATGTACTGCTATGCAGACGCCTAGAAATCACCTGAATAGTTCTAGTTACAATCGACTTGGTAGTAGTGAACAATGGGAATCAAGATGCGTGTTTCGTCCTATTTTGGATTCGTTAGATGGGTGTGTCTGTATCACACCAAATGGTTTTGTTCCTACTAAGACTTTTCTTTGCATAACGCTGTACTGTTATCCATTAAGCCACTGAGACATACAGCCAAACTGCACTGGTTGATCAACTTACAAATAACGTACAAGTTGCACAGCCCACGTTGACATTCCTCACAGGCTGATTTGTTGATTCCATCAACGGGGTCAGGATGATATCAACACAAAACTCCCGTTTCGCTGGATTTGTCCGGATAAATTGCTGATGAAATTAATCTAAAACGCAAGAAACTGTAGTGTGGTGTTCAGATTACTCTGATCTGGCTGGCTGGTGAAATCTACAAATCAACCTGAATAGTTTCTAACTACTTAAGTTGTTCTGTAGTACATTTTGTTAGGCCATACACAGTTTAGACCCATGAAATTGATAGTTTACTCTAACCAGTTAACATAACAAAACGGATATCTATGTGATTTCAAAGTTGACACCGGATGAAAATCTGCTGGGGACCAGTGGTATACTGGACATATGTCTCAGCGGTTTCCATTTAAACACTTTCCACTGATGACTACAATTTGGATAAGACTTACTAAATAGTTGAAACTAAGACGGATTTTTTGATGTTAAAATGGAGAGCAATGACTCACAGAGGTAACCAAGATGGGGGCTGTGAATTTCAGTCTAGTGGATGCATGAGAACTCATTCATTTCTTGACCTCATAGTCCTAGTCTGCATCAAGTATAGGGTGGCTATTTTGTACTATTAAGGAATTCAAAATAACCTCGCCTGGTTAACTAGTACACTAGTTACTAACCGGTCCTAAACCCACATAAAGAGAGAAGATTGGGCATAGGGTTAGCAACCCTACCCCATAACAACAATCTAACCGCTAAAAAAACTTCAAACCACACAAAATATATTAAAAATAAAAACAAACTTATTCCTCTCCGGAATCGGAGAGACGAAATGACGCCGGTTGGCGAAAACATTTGGAAAGCCAATTGACCCGGCCGATGTGTCTTCTCTCCCTCGATGAAATCGAAAGTAAACATGAAGACATGGAATGTACGCACCATCTTCGAACCCAGCAAGGCTGCCCAGATTGCAGAGGAGATGAGAACATATGGTATAGAAGTGCTTGGAATCTGCGAAAACAGATGGAATTGAATGGGAGTGGACTCCCTAAACTATCATCTCCAGAGTCAACAATCTACTCCGATATTGTCACCCAAACGACAACCACAAGCAAGCTGAGTTTTCGAGTGGTTATCATGATGTCCCCTTCTAAAGCATCGAACGCTCTCATACAGTGGGGACCAATCTCCTCCAAGATCATAACAACAAGGTTCAACTCGAAAGGAAGGAAGGAAGGAAGGAAGGTCACAATCACACAATGCTACGCCACACACCTACAAATAATGCAGATGAAGAGAAGAAGGAGGAATTCCACAGACAACTACAATCAACACTGGACAAGCCCCACACCAGTTGGTGACATCAGAATCATAATGAGTGGGGTGACATGAATGTCAAACTGGGAGGGGACAACACACGAAGAGAACTAACCATAGGTCGAGAAGCTCTCGGTGAGGTGATGAACGAAAATAGAGAACTGTTTGCAGACTTCTGCTCATTCAACCATTTGGTGATTGGAACCAGGCAGTGTGTACAAACACAAGGATATTCACAAAGTGACATGGACTTCACCAGATGGACACACTGAAAATCAGATCGACTTCATCTCAATGTGAAGAAAGTGGAGACGCAGGTTACTGGACACAAACAAGATGGAGAAGGGGAGCAGATGTAGGTTTACAACACTTACTATCTTGTGCAAGGAACCTTCCGAATCAAGTTGAAAGCCTTCAAGGAAGTTGGTGATAGACCACAACTCAAGTTCAACCTCTAGAACAGAAACTGAGGGACGAAACTACAAAGGACATCTTCACGTCAACGACAAGAGGGACTGCGTACAATGTATAAAACACCACCACACTGTACAAAGAATTGAAGAAGAGTGTAGGGAGAGACAAAAGACACTTCCACGACACACTGCCAAACAGAACGGGCTGCAGGTAGGAGAGACAGAGATCTGACAACATTGTATCAAATAACCAGGTTACTATCCATCTGGGAAGAGATCAACACAGATGAAACCAACAGAAGATGATGACGGAAATGTAATTATCAAAGAAGAGAAACAAAGGAGACGAAGGGCTGACCACTTCAAAAAACTCTTGAATCGACCACCACCACCACCACCACCTGTACTTCGTCCAGAAATGCCACCTGCAGCCCAGCCTCAGAACTACAAGTGAACACAGGCCCTGCAACGAAAGTTGAAGTCTTGAACGCCATAAAGTTGCTGAAATGTGGGAAGGTAGCGTAGCAGGACCAGATGAAATCCCACCAGAAGTACTGTGAGCTGACGCAGGGACAACAGCGGATATGCTCACACCACTATTGCAGAAAGTTTGGAAGGAAGGAAGGAAGGAAGGGAAGGTACCTGGCCATTGTTTGGAAAGAGAGCTACCTTGTCAAACTCTTGAAGAAGGGAGATCTTAATCTTTGCCAGATCTGGCGCGGAATCATGCTCCTGTCCACACCCACACCAAGCAAAATATTAAACCGCATCATCCTGGGGCAACTGAAGTATGCGCTGGATTCAAAACTACAACCGGAACAGGCTGGCTGGCTGGTTGGCTGGCTTCAGGAAGTAAAAATCATGTGCGGATCAATTTGCAGCGAGACACTACGCATCATCATAGAACAAAGTATAGAATTCCAGTCAACTGTCTACCTCGACTTTATCGACTTTGAGAAGGCCTTTGACAGCGTCGGTCGAGACGTAATTTGGGAGAAACTTAAAAGAACTTGCCTCTTCCACCTACTTAGGCAGCATCGTTTCAACCACAGGCGGTGGCGGCAAAGATGAGGACGTCAAAGTCAGCCAGGATGGGAAAGACAGCAAGACAGGCGTTCATTAACCTGAAACCAGTGTGGATGTCTTCTGCACTCAGCATAAAGCGTGAACAACATCCAGATTTTCAACACAAATTCAGTCACATCAGTGCTTCTATGTGATGGTTGAGAGACTCGGTGCGTTACGAAACGCATCTTCAACAAAATACAAACATTCATCAACAGCTGCCTACTCTGGCTCCTTACTGAAGCTCAGATGAATTGCCTGAAAGAATAAACAACAAGGAACTCTGGCTGGCTGGCAACGAACCAACCAAGAACCTATCGCTGAACAAATATGCAGTGGAAGGAAGTGGAGATGGATTGGGCATGCACTGAGAAGGTTGACTGCGGACATTAAGCACCAGGCCAGGCCTTCTAGTGGAACCCAGATGAGAAACGACTAGTTGAGCTTTCGGGTTGAGGGTGACATGGAAGAGATCGTGTGAGGAAGAAATGAGAGCTTCTGAGCTGTTGTGGAACCAAGTTTAAGAGAGAAAAGAGAACAGAGTGCACTGGATACGTGCTACTCAAGCCCTATGTTTCATTAGGAATCGAAGGGACTAATAATAGTAATAAGGAATTCAAAATTATTGTAAAGTAAAATTCCAATACTGTTTTGACTTTCCCTGTCTTTCTTGTTAATATCATTCAATGCTAAAAACGTTCCCTACGCCATTCAATTATTCGTAAAATGGTCGATCAGCTAAAAAGAAATGTTTATTAGTTTTGAAGATGTATCTTTACTAAAACCCTGTGTCCCACTAGAAACCCAAGGGCAAATAGTTAGTTATAAGACTGAATATAAACAGCAAGTATGCAGGAAAGTTGAAGATCATAACGACAGACTGGCGGGAGATCAGGCAAAAAGAATATACGATATTGGATGGGAACATAAATTTTAAGGAATGGGTTGAATAACCTGCAGAAGAAGGGGGAATTTGCGGATGGATAAATTATTGCCAGATATAGCAAGGTTATGATAAGCAATTGGAGTTTGATG